TGACAAATAAGTAGCACCAATTGTTAGAGATGGCAGGAAGATACAATTATGCATTTCACACTCACAGACGGAGTGCTGCTCTGTTTAACACCATTGTTGAATTTCTGCTAGGCCACTGAGGGCTGTTTCTTAGGCATCGGCCCACATGAGTTATATGTTTGGGCCAATGGCAAGACATTAAATTACTCATTTGGGGTCTGCAACCAGTAGCGGCGTATCAATCCTTGCACAGAGGGCTTCAAGAGGAAACGTCTACCATTAACAATGTTTTCACCATAGACAAGCCAGGGTCATCGTCTTTTATGCTTTTCTGCCCACATGAACCCATCAAAAACCTATTTATTCAGAAATCAATGAAAATGTGCACTTGGGAGCCTGTGCCCATCTGATTTCCAACCTAGACATGAGTCAGCCTCACAGTCGTTACCCGGGAAACCATATGGCAGCAGAGTTCTTCAAGAGCTACAGCCTATTGGATGCCATGATAAACTGAGCAGAGTTAACTGGAGATATGCTGACTGATTACACATCACTATTCATTCTCTCAGAGGGTAATGCTGTTTGTGGTAATACAATAACACAGTGTTTGTGTCTGTTAGGCTGGAACAGTATCATAATTATAGTATGATACGGCTGAACAAAACATTAGCTCTAGAGTCCAACACAGAAGTATGATTTTTAAAAATTGTTTAAATCAATATTGCTTGAGTGAGTTTGTTTGGAAGGAAAAACATGCCTCTAATGAAGCTTACGGTTTAAAAAGAGAAAACTTGGAAAACATGACTAGCACTCCAAAAGTCTGATTATTTTTGCTCATGTGAGCAGGCCTAGAGCAAAACTAACAAATGTTGATAATAGTGATGTGTAAATGATAAACTGTAGTCAAAATGTTGCCATAGGCAAAACACAGTGGTTATTCCACAGGGATCTGAGGAGCAACATACTGTAACATATTTTGTTACAACTTAATTGAAAGAGATGATATTTTACGCTGAGATGCTTTTGATAAACTGAGTCAGTGGATATGACCCTGTATGCTGGTATACCATGTGCAAAGCCACAATGAGAGGATTTAGAACCTAATTGTTGGGTTTTTTGTATCATGGCAAAAACAATACAATTATACTGATTTAAGGTATTCTTTTACAATCCCCCAACTAGGCTATCATCACAAAAGCACATTATAATCAAGTGTAACATAAAGTAGGATAATGGAATGAATGGAATGAAGTGGAGCCCACCATATGGTCTTGTATCCTCTGTGCCCTCTACTCTGCAGCATTCCAGTCAAGGATTTATCCAAGTTTCAGCCGGGCCATCCTTAAGTACGGGGCCTCCCGGTGACAGTCTGATTCCTACCGCTACTAACTAAAGGATTAACAAGACAACAGGTCTAAAGCCTTGTTAGTGGCTACGAGAGGCAGCAGTGTTCACTACAAGCCATAGAATGATTGGATGGAGTCAACAAAACTACAGTATGCAGCAAAATACTCAAGAAATACTAACAACATACTGATTCTGCTATTCTTGGAGCTTTGTTAGTGCCGGGTCTATAATGTTTCTCTTGATGGTTGTGCTACAGGAAATGCCATGGGCTCATTAAATTCAAAAGGGTTTTCCCACTGGAAGCATCAATTAACTCAGCACATTTTGTAACAATTTAACAACACAGTTTATAATTGTCCCTGACTGAAAGTGCAATTTTGTTATAAGTTAAAATAAATTGCTCTTATTTCAAGTTCTTGGAGTTCTGGCTTAATGTTAAGGCTATATGAAAGGTTGAAGGGTCATTACAAGCATTATTGTATGTTAAGAAAGAGTAGCAAAGGAGGATTTAGGAGTGATACTCTGCACTTTTTCCGTTAGAAATCTACTAAACTTCACATTTGTCTTTATCATGTCTCAGCCTCCTCCTCTGCTGCTATCCTCAGAGTCTGAAGGGATCAGGAATCCCATGCCGCACCAGTGTGATTACCTTGAGGAGAGCTGAGCAAATTACTGGTGAAACAACCACCGCAAGAAGTGAAAGCTCTCGTGAGTACGGAAAAGTATACTGGAGATACTTTACTTGAAATGACATCCCCCCAACAAATGATGCATGCACAGCCACAGATGCAGTAATCCCACGTACAGTAAACCCAGGAAATTAATTTCCAGTGATCATGTTAAATCATATTAAATTGTTATAAGGAGAGATGGTTATTTAAGGATAAACACAGCTCAGAAAAAAGTTTTTATGAAAGTATGTCTGATTTTTTGGTTGAACTGTAGTGGGTGAGTCTTATAGTGACCATCATCTGGAGGCCAAAGTCCACCAACAGTTATATTTATCACGGAATCCCTATTTCTAACTGATATGTTGTTTTAAGTGGGAAGGGGGTGTGATCACTAATACTAACACAAACTATTAAATGCCTGCCTCTCTCCCAAAATAACCCACTGTGTTACGCGGCCATGACACGGGGCTTTAAAAAGCAGAGCTAACCAGGATTAGCATCCAATTTTAACACCTGACTGTAATCCTGCCCTCAAACAGTCCATGCTAAGCCTTTGCTAGCCATGCTAATGGACGGAAAGCAGTTTGCAGATGGTCTATTTTTTTCTTCACAACTGTTACACAACAACTTGGCTTGTGGTAAATACAGAGAGTGACAGGACAGCAGGCTTACAGGGCAGTCGATTAGATCGTAACTTCCTACTGTCATAAAGTTAAAGTAAAGTTGGTGAATTCTAGATACTTAAAAAGAAGACATGTTGGATCAATCTGTTCCGTTACTGCACTTTTTTCAACTCCATTAACACGCTTTTTTTAGTATCATGAACTCAATACCTATAAGAAAACACTGAACCACACTGGGTTGATCATTAACTACAAGCTATTGCATTTTATGTTTGTATTGCTCTTAGAGATCCAACATTTTTTATTATGACTTGTACATTCAGCATGAGTGTATATTTGAAACTATTGTTCATAAGGTGGCTGCGTGCTTCAAATCACAACACTGTCCCAGTCTGACAAGGGCAGAGTCATAGGTTGTCTTATACACAAGACAACACATCATCTATTCTAAATGATAACCTATCAATGCAGTTTAGTTAGTAGTTTGCGTGTGTAAAACTTTGCTAGTGTGGTTGTTGTCAGTACAACCTGCTCCAGACGGTTTGCTTTTTATGATACAGTAGCAGGGCAGTTTAATTCACTGTTATCAAAGATATAGGCGAGGCCATTTTTGTTCTTTCAGCAGTTTCACCTGAATAAAATGTCAGTCATTATTACATTTAAATGTAGATGAACTTTGACTTCACACTGGCAGGCATGTAATCACAGACCTGTACCGATCATGCATGGGCAGTTAACGTTGAGAATGGACATGAAGAACAGTTTAATCATGGTCTCCTTCGATTAAGAAGTTATTTATCAAGTTCATCAGATCTACAAACCCATTTAGTCAGATAACTATGTTTAATAATTGGAACCTGTTTGGCATGTGGCAGTTATTCAAATGGATGGGGACTTTATTGTTTTGTTTATTTAGTGCTAACTTTTTTATGACAAACCAAATTCATCTTATAATACAACAAAATTAACCTTTATTATTTGTTTGCTCATATTTCTTTTGTTAACAATCTTGTTAATTCTAAGATAAACTGCAAATGGACACTATATAGCTTTTTTTGTGACTTCTTAAAGCACTTTACAGTAACACAAGTCAGCATTCACCAAGTCACACACATTAATAGTTTCATCTGCTTCAGGGAGATCAACATTTACAGCAACTTGTGGTTCATTATCTTGCCTGAGGACACTTTGACATGCTGATGGAAGAAGCTGGGGATCAAACCAACAGTTTTTTTTACAAAAAGTGTTCCTTGTCAGAGATAATAATCTTGTCAATCCAGAAAACCAGGTGAAACCTTTTTTATATAACACCAGTTTAGGCTTGAGTGACAACATTGTCTATGTTTTTTGGAGCATATACACAAAAGTAACCATTGTGAGGAAACAACATAACTGCAGGGGCTAAATATTGTAAACAATAATAACCTTAACCATTCTCCCAATGTTCACTGCCTCAGAGTGTTGCGTATGTAGCGTGGACTATGGAAGCTTACATAACCCAAGGTTCCTTCAGTATAAGTCGTTATATTTGTGTTGTTCTGTTCAAACAAATGGCAAGTGGTCGAGGATATTGTTCGATTCCTGAACAATAGACAAGGAAAATTAGATATCATATAAAACAGATGGAGGGATGGAGGCTTTCGTGTGCCAGCTGCAGAGCCGTAGGGATTCATGCCTCCATCATTGGCCTTCCTACTGATGATGTCATCAATTAAAGGGACACGAAACTAAAAACATCAGTTCTCCTTTTGCTCCTACACTTAACCCCGCAGAGAGGGATAACTGCAACCTTGGGTGGGTACAAATGTACGCATGCACCCACCCGTGCAGACATACAATCCACAGATGAGTGCCGAGTAAAAAGGGTAAAATGAAGTGTGAGCAGACACACAGCTGAGACATAGAGTGCTGCAAGTGTGTACGCGTGTGTCATTGCATGTGTTTCAGAGAAACCATACAAAGAGAATTTATACAAGTGAGCCAGCTGGACACATAAGCCGTCCTGCACAATAAATCCAAATAATCCTTTACGATGGGAAGCGGGAAAAGGGGGGTGGGGTTAGGGGGGTACTCGGACATATGCACACGCAGAAACACTCACAAAGGTACACACGGTTCAATTAGCTTCGCCATTGTGCCGCTGTGGTAGACATTCAGTGGCTGTGCCCGTTTCCTAAGAATAACACGCAAGTCACCGGAATGTATGCACTCAAAATAGCAGGGCAGCTTATGACATTTGAACCTCCCAAACACACACCAACACACACACACACACACACACACTTGACAGCAGATGCAGTAGGACAAGGACATAAAGGGGGATTACCCTGAATAACAACAGCCAAGGGGATATCATAATACATTTAAAAAATCATCTTACCTTCCATCATGGTTGCAGATTTGCATTCCTCTATCTCCAAGGATCCTGAATTGAAAGCGGGAGGCGTTGGGGGGTAGAGAAGAGAAGAAGCCCCTGGTTACCACAGAGATACAGTAGAATTGATGGG